AGACAGAGTTTCTCTCTTGTTACTCAGGCTGGAGTGCAATGGCGAGATCTCGGCTCACCGCAACCTCCGCCTCCTGGGTTCAGGCAATTCTCCTGCCTCAGCCTCCTGAGTACCTGGGATTACAGGCATGTGCCACCATGCCCAGCTAATTTTTTATATTTTTAGTAGAGACGGGGTTTCACCATGTTGACCAGGATGGTCTCAATCTCTTGACCTCGTGATCCACCCACCTCGGCCTCCCAAAGTGCTGGGATTACAGGCGTGAGCCACCGCGCCCGGCGTAAGTAAGAATTTTGACAAGAACATATTAACAGCTTCTAGGATGAAGAAAGGGAAACTCACTTCAGGTCAATAGAGATTGTCACTTGGGACCCTTTTGAGACAACCAATTATGACTCTCTCTACAATATTGCTATCCAGCCCCCATTCCTCACTTTTGTCCTAGTGGTAATAAGGCATTCATTGAATCTTTCAGAAGTTCAGATACCACTGTCTGAGTAGTTCTTTAATCTTCTTGTCTGGTGATCTCATGACGAATAGCTCAAGTAAGTCTGCCACACCTTAGGCTTGGTGTCATCTTCTACACAAAACACACATTATAGGTGGACAGGATGGTCAATCTAATTAATAAGGAATGTTACATTCAATGCATTTTTATACCAGGCCCAGCTATCTCAGTTAGAAGAAAAATATGCTTTCTATTTGAGAACACTTGGATTTATGCATTCAATTTGGAAGTTAAAAGGAATAAAGATGACAGTTCATAGTGTCTGCTGTATCCAAACCTTTTTACAAGGTGATGTTGTGTTAACTAGTTACCATTTTGAGCTCTTCATACTAAAGTTTTGAGTGAAAAACACTATCTGCTAAGTCAGGGCAATAATATTTTTCTGTTTTTAAACTTACTGTACCATTTAAATAATGAAGAAATCAAATGTTAATGATCACAAACATTTTTTGTTGTAAAACTGCTTTCCCCTCCCCTTCCTTCACTATATACTGTACTGAAATGTTTCAAACTGCCTTTAGAGCAGTCATACACATTCTCCTTCAGCGTGGACATTAACTCAGCAAGCAGCAGCTTCAGAATTATGCACCTGTGATCAGGCCAATTGGGATAGAGGCATCATCTACCATTATCTTTTCAGAGCCAATGAAACTAAGTTTATTTTCCATATCAGATTCATTTTTTCCCTTACTCACTGCCCAGATATTAATTCTTGATTTCAACCCCACCCCATGAAAAGGCTGTCTATTCAGTCAGAGAGACACAAAGATGGCTTGTGCAAACCAAACAAAAAATACACAAGAGCAATTTATTCTGGTTAATAAGCTGGGAGCAAACATGTAGAGGCTAATTGTACGGTGAGTACAAGAAGAGTTTCTTATCTGGGGAGTGTATAATGTTGGGGTATACACTGTCATTTGTTTTCTTATCCAACAGCCATCCTTCTTCATTGCTTAGAAAAAAAAACTAGGTGTTACAGACATCAGGCAAGTGGCATGGGATTTAGGAGAAAATTATTTGCTGTCAGCCATGAAGGATGAAGGATTTCTGTATACAATTTCTGTGTACAATCATGGTAGCCATCTTTCAAGATTCCTCCAATGATTCTCTTCTGCTATTCATGCCCTTGTGTAGTTATCTCTTACACAGAATAGGGCTGATGTGTGACCAGCAGGATATTGTGGAAATGGCAGAATTTGATGTTCATAAAAGATATTGCAGCTTTTTCCTTGCTCTCTCAGATTATTCACCCTGGAGAAGGCTGCTGCCATGTTGTGAAAACACTCAAGTAACCCTCTGTAAAGTCCAGGTGATCAGGACTTGAAACTTCCTTACAACAGCCACAATGAATTTGCTAACTATGTGAGTGGCACAACTTTGCTCAGGTGACTGGAGGCCCAGTGGCTTCTTGCCTGCTATTTCAAGAGAGATTCCAAGCCAAACCACCCAACAGAGCCAACTAAGTCTCTCCCAAATTCCTGGCCCAAAGAAACTATGAAAGATAATGCATATTTATTGTTGTTTAAGCCACTTAATTTCAGAATAATTTGTTATGCAGAAGAAAATAGCACCAATTGTGTTAATTCCCATTTCTCTGTCATGCTATATATGTAGCCAGATAGCCACAGACCTAAAATCCATAGGCATATATGGTAGTCCTTCACATTACCTATATCTTATTTTAATAATCTGGTCTGGTGAGGTACTACTAAGCTGGACCTCCAGAAAAATTTGGAAAGCCCTAATTTGCAGTGTTTACCTAGTTGTGTGTTACAAATATTCCCACTGGTCGACATCATGCTACCAACATAGAGTTGGGAAGAAATGCACACAATTGTCTCTTGCAAGCTCATATGAGCTCCCATGCACCACTGAATTCAGCTCAGAAGAAATAGATTGGGTCAAGTAATCATACTGGCCTCTGCCTATTTGGCCAGAAGAATCTTCAGATGCAGTGTAATGTTTTGACAATAGCTCTAGGACCAAATGACCAGGAGCCTGATTTTGCCTCTGCTGTTTTCTGGCTAAGTGACCTCAATAGGTACTGCTTATTGGCAATAAGTGTCAGATTCTTCATCTGTAAAATAAGGATGGCAATTTCTGCTCATCAGAGATTTGAGAGAATTAAATGAAAATAACAATAGCAAAAACAACAGTTAGGAGTAATTATAATATATAGTAATATATCAGGCCAGAGTTGCTTATATCATTGCTTAATTTAATAATACAGGCAAAGTAGTAGGGACTAAATGAATGCCAATTATCAGCGTTGTTATTACCTTTCCCAACAGGGAGCTTGTCATTTGAAGGAACACTGAATCAGAAATTGTTGGAACTGGTCTGTCTCCTATTTTCCAACCTCGATTCATTGTCTTTGTAAGTTGGGCAAAAGGCTCCAGTGAAGAGATGTGAAGCTTATCTATGGTACTCACTAGGGGCCAGCCCAGGCTGCCCACAAGACCATAAGCCACCCTGTGACTAAAGGAAGTGGAGAGAAGAGAAAGTAGTTAGGGAATCAAGAAAAGTGTCTTTCAGCACCTTGGCCAGAAGTTGTGCCACAGAATTGGAACAGAAAACCCAGCGAGCTGGTGCTGTCCTAGTTCTAGTGCTGAATGATCCCACTGGTCCTTTTTGAAGGGCTCTGACTTCAGCCCATCAGCAGTATGTAGACTCAGCTTTCTACCAAAGTTGGAGATTCCTAGGAACAAGAAGTCTCTTAAAATGAAATGAAACTTGAATCAACCAAGGACTCCTAGCCTGATATTAGCTGTCTTTACACACATATATCTTTTTAACAATGAAAAAAGAAAAGAATAGGCCTGGCGTGGTGGCTCATGCCTGTAAACCCAGCACTTTGGGAGGATGAGATGGGCAGATCACAAGGTCAAGAGATCGAGACCATCCTGGCCAACAAAGTGAAAATCCGTTTTTACTGAAAAATAAAAAATTAGCTGGGCATGGTGGCACATGCCTGTAGTCCCAGCTACTTGGGAGGCTGAGGCAGAAGCATTCCTTGAACCCTGGAGGTGGAGGTTGCAGTGAGCTGAGCTCATGCCACTGCACTCCAGCCTTGCACCTGGTAACAGAGTGAGACTCTGTCTCAAAAGAAAAGAAAGAATAGATATTGATAGAACTTTCACTCTATGTTCATCACCAGGGTAGTTGATTTATAAACATTATTTTTAGTCACAACCCTGCAGCGTTTTCCCCACTGACAAAGAACCTGAGGCATGTATAATTTAATTAACTCACTGAAGGCCACCCAGCTAATCAGCAGTGAGAAAAGAATTTAATTCTAGATCTTTCATTCCAAAGCCCAGATCCTTACACTTTGGATGCCACTATTTCCAGAAAGTCAACAACACTGCAGACTCTCAACCTGACTAAAAACTAAAGAGTATTTGGAGCAGGTAATACAAATTGTTTTCTAATTTATTATGGTCGGTTCTCTTCTTTGAATCCAGGTGATACCGATGTCTCTATACCTCCTCTTCACCCTTCAGAGGAGGTCCTCTTGCTTCTAAAAAGAGAATACAAATAGCTACATTCCTACTCAGTGGGAGAATGTGAGACTGTCCCAGAAGCTAAGGACTTAGGCTGGTAATGTCCTGAGAAAATGACTGTGACAACCTGGAGATACCCCTTTGTGTGGTAAGGTCCCTAATGAACAGAATGGGGCCCCCACCTAACCACATCTCAGGCATGGCTTCCAGACATGTTTCAGACCAGAAAGTAAGCATACTGTATGATTACTACATACTACATCCTATATACATCGCCATCCTCATTTTAAGGATGAAGAATCTGACACATTGCCAATAAGCAGTACCTATTGAGGTCACTCAGCCAGAAAACAGCAGAGGCAAAATTAGGCTCCTGGTCATTTGGTCCTAAAGCTATTGTCAGTAATCTCAGTATATCTGAGATGTGGTCAGTCAGCATACTTTAGAATGAACTTCTGTGCTAAGATAATAATGTGGTGGTTAAGTATTGACTCAGATTGCCTGCATTCACAATAAGTTTTCACGTGTTAAACTTCAGTTTTCAGCTGTGTTATTTGGGGGCACTAACTCCATAAGCCTCAGGTTTTGCATCTTTAAAATGGGACCTATAGGGTTGTTTACGTGCAATGTATGTCATCTGCTTGCCCTAAGGAAAGTATTCAATAAACTTTAGATAGTTTTATTATCATCATCATTACTGTGCAGTGATGCAGATCACTGAAGGAAAAGGTGCACATTTTCAACTTTAAGAGCGACACTCCTTTAGTGTATCTCCATATTCCCTGAAGGGGAGCTGAAATGATAGGATGGACCTGGCCTCACTGCCCCAGGCCTTCCTTGTTGGAGTCTTCGTGATACTCCTCAGAAGCAGCAACCCCAGCCATGTCTGGCACAATTCCTCACCAGACAGGAGGACATCATGGCCTCAACTCATGATCTGTACCACAGTCAAGCCTCTTTCTGGGTACCCACCAAGTCTCAGGCCTCACCTTCTCTGCCCTGTTGTCCCTGCCCATCTGACCTGGTTTCTGACTCGTTTCCACGACTGGACACTTGTCTGAGGCTGGGTCCCCATCTGGATCTTGTGGCTTCCAGTCCAGGGCTTAGAAGGAAGCTACTCCCACACTTGAAGATGACAGCTGAGCATGGTCCTTTGTGGGTGTGCTGCCAGGAAAATGATGATGGAATCTGCTTAATGTGCCAGTTGTCTCTTTGAGTCCTCCATCCAAAAGAGCACTTGTCACACCCCTGCAGAGCCCCAGCTGGTTCTTAGAGCAGTGCTCCAGCTCTGTGATGACATAATCTGGCTTCCCAATCTACCCCACAATGTGTCATTGCTGAGGTCCCTGTGGGTCTTGCAGATAAACTTGCTACAAACATTCTACCCACAAAAGAAGCTTGTAATCATGAAACCACCCTGCTCTTTAGCCCCTGGCCCTTAACTCACTCCAGATTGCTGCCAGCTCTTTTGTTTTTCCACTCAGATCAAAGGGATTGAGAAGCTTTCCTATCCCATAGAACTGCCACCCTCCATTCTGTATACTCTAGTGGAACACAGTAAAAGGCAGTCTCCCCAGCACCCTGCTTGTTGCACCCCAGGTGCTGCAAGGCCCATTTGCTGTTCTTGACTTCAGTATTTCAGATTGCTGATGGAACACAGGAGGCAGCAGCCAGGTGAGAAATTGAGTTTGACTCTGGATTATTATAAAGTCCTTATAGTTATTGGCCTCAGGCATAAGGTCTGTATTATTAAAGAGAAATTATTCAGCAAACACTTGTAAAAAGTGGCAAGACATAGCTTATTCAAGAGTATTACAATAGGGAAGTGCTATTCCCTCAACCTTTGTGTCCCCCTCAAATTCATCTGTTGAAGCTTCACTTCCAAGGTGAAAAAATTAGGAGGTGGGCACTTTGAGGGATGATTATGTCACAGGCCAGAACCCTCATGAACAAGATCAGTGCCCTTCAAAAAACATTTTGGGAAAGACCCCTCACCCATTCCATCATTTGAGGACACAGCCAGGAAGCTTCATCCACAAACCAGAAAGTTGGCCCTTACCAGACACTGAATCTGCTAATGTCCTGACCATGGACTTTCCAGCCTTCAAAACTGTGAGAAATAAATTTCTGTTGTTTGTAAGCCTTCTAGTTGATGGTATTTTGTTACAGCAGCCCAAACAGACTAAGACAGGGAGAGAAACAGAACTCAGCTGCAAATACAAACAGGGACAAGCGGAGTTTTACAGCCAGTGGGCTCAGTGACAAAGAGCACAGAGAAATACTAGGGTGAACTTGGGGTAGGGGAAAGAAACCTAATTAGATATCAATGGCTGGGGGGAGGGATTCTCAATAAACTGCGTCAGCAGAAGTTTTTTGCTAAAACTGGGCTCAGGGGGCCATGGAGGAGGCCTAGTTGAGAAGAGGGCTCAGAGTTTGGTCAATTATAGAGTCTTTGTTGGTTTCAGTCAGGGGTCTTCAGAGAAACAGAAACAATAAAAAAGAGACAGACTGGGCTGGTCACAGTGGCTCATGCCTGTAATCCCAGCACTTTGGGAGGCCGAGGTGGGTGGATCACCTGAGGTCAGGAGTTCAAGATCAGCCTGGCCATCATGGTGAAACCCCATCTTTAAAAAAAAAAGAAAGAAAGAAAGAGAGAGAGAGGGACTGAAACTTATTTTAAGGAATTGAGTCATGCAATTGTGGAAGCTGGCACCTCTGAAATCTAGGGCAGGCCCCTTGGATAGAAATTCAGACAAGAGTTGAAATTGTAATCTTGAGTCCAAAGTCTGCAAGGCAGATCAGAGGGCTGGAAATGTAGACTGGATTTCTATGTCAGTTTTGAGGCAGAATGCCTTCTGCCCTGAGACACCTCAGCTTTTGCTCCTAAGGCCTTCAATTGATTGGATGAGGCCCACCCACATCATGGAGGGTAATCTGCTTTTCTTAAAGTCCACCAACTGTAAATGTTAATCACATCTACAAAATACCTTCCTAACAACATCCAGACTAATGTTTGACCAAACAACTGGCCCCATCACCTGGGAAGATTGACACAAAAAAATAGCCTTAACAGGGGCTAAAGAAAGAATGTGGACACCCAGACAGGCATGTTCAGTCCACTTTCACTTCCAAGGGATGCTCCCAAGTCTCCCCACTTGGTTCTATTTTTAGAGAAGACAATGCAGAGGATCCTCCCATACCCACATCACCCTTTTCTACAACCAAAAAATAAAAATAAGGTAAGAAAGATTTGTTCCTGGGCCCAGTGTGGTGGGTCATGCCTGTATTCCCAGCACTTTGGGAGGCTGAGGCAAGTGGATCACAAGGGCAGAAGTTTGAGAACAGCCTGGCCAATATGGCAAAACCTGGTTTTTACTAATAATACAAAAATAACCCAGGTGTGGTAGCAGGTGCCTGTAAGCCCAGCTTCTCAGGAGGCTGAGGCAGGAGAATCTCTTGAACCCATGAGGGAGGTTGCAGTGAGCCAAGATTGTGCCACTGCACTCCAGCCTGGGCAACAAGAGCAAAACTCCATCTTGAAAAGAAAAAATTTTAAAAAAGATTTGTTTTTGTACCTCAAGTGGACAACTGATGTCCAGAGACCCACTGGACTGAGAACATCACCTCCCCCAGTTTCTGACTGCCAAGCAATGATGATTAGGTACATTTCATGCCGGTCCATCACCAAGGAGCGAAGGAAGTAGTCACCTGAACCAAGTAGTAAAATCTCAGTCCCAGAGATGCTGGGGGTTTGGCAAAAATGCTGTGAACGCCAATGCAGGCATTGCATTGTTAATCTGCACATGTGAACAAGGAAGGATTAGGCTGCAGGCCTCATATGCAAGGACGACTGGATGGAAAGTCTCACTTCCCATTGTGCTCCTGTTTCCTGATGCTCAAGAATAAGCTTTAGGCTTGACAAAGTCTGGGTGAGGAGAAACACAAACAGAAACTGCCACTCTCCTCCCCACAAGTTTAAAATTGTAACAGTGTCTTGTGCTCTAACGAAGTTTTGTAACAGTGGCTGATGTGATGAAAACTAAGCCGCCTCCAGCCTGCTCAAAACCTGGCTTAAGCTGCTGGCTGCTATGCTGCTTCACCAAGCACCTCTGCTCCAGCGGATGGGCTTCACCTCTGTTTCACAGAGAAGTCCATTTTGCCTAAGAGTGTGGGTGGTCTACAGGGAAGCAGGGCAGGGAATATACTTTCCCCAGCTTCTGTGATGCAATTTCTTCATGCAGCTCTAAAGCAAGATCAATTGTTATGATGACGGCCTTTCAGTCTTTCCTTACAACATCCTGTTCTCTCAGGACATTAAAGGCTGGGCTGAGAGACAAAGCTGAGGGACATTTACTCTGGCTGCCTCCCCGGCCACCAAGTTCCTGATTGGATCAGGCTCAATGTGCAGGAATTCCTCCCCCGTCATTCACTCACTAGTGTGTTTTTAAAACATATTTTGAGTGCCTACTGCTGTATGTGCTGGGGAAACAGCTGTGACTAACCATCTCTGACATTCTGGGGTGCCCATCCTTACAAAGGAGACCTCTGCTCCTAGCACACCACTGGTAGATGTGTCCACATAGATCTGTTTCCAGTTCAAACTCAAGATGACCTCTTACTCCTACTATGTTATGTAGTTAAATATTTTTAAAACATTTGTTAAATAGCATTTCATGGGGATATAGGTTTTTTATTGTTTTTTATTTTTTTATTTTTTTTGAGACAATTTCCCTCTGACTGTCTCAAAAAATACCCCCTCCATTTTTTGGGCAACAAAGGCCCCCTGTCTGAGCAACCCAGCCAGGCTGAAATGCAGTGGCTCAATCTTGGCTCACTGCAACCTCCACCTCTCGGGTTCAAGTGATTCTCCTGACTCAGCCTCCTGAGTAGCTGGGACTACAGGCATATGCCACCACACCTGGCTAATTTTTTTGTATTTTCAGTAGAGATGGGTTTTTACCACAGTGGCCAGGTTGGTCTTGAACTCCTGACCTCAAGTGATCTGCCGACCTTTGTTTCCCAAAGTGCTGAAATTACAAGTGTGAGCCATGGTGCCTGGACAGAGAGTAGACATAGTTTCAAAAATTAGATACAGTTTCTGCAATTAGAAAAATGCAGAAAAGTGGGCCAAATGCAATTACTCATGCCTGTAATCTCAGTGCAGTCGAGGCTGAGGTGGTCAAATCACTTGAGGCCAGGAGTTCAAGACCAGCCTAGCTAAAATGGCAAAACCCCATCTCTACTAAAAATACAGACACTAGTTGGACATAGTGGCGCATGCCTGTAATCCCTGCTACTTTGGCGGATGAGTCAGGGAATTGCTTGAAACCTGGAGGCAGTGTTTGCAGTGAGTCGAGATCTTGCCACTGTACTCCAGCCCAGGTGACAGAACAAGACTCTAAGAAAGAAGGAAATCAATGAAGCAAGCAAGAAAGAACAAAAGAGAGAGAGAAAGAAAAAGAAAGAGAAAATAGGCAAAAAATTAAAAAAGAAAGAAAAATGCAGAAAAGTATAACAAAAAAAATCACTTCTACATTCATATTCAGAGATAACAACTGCTAAAATACTGTTATATTTTCTTCCAGCCTGGTTTTTACCATCAATATATATACAATGGGAAACACATAACACATCCTTGGCCATTAGCTCCCTTTCCTTCAGAAGGACTTGGGAGAACAAAGGCTCTTGGCTGAAAATGAAATGAACGTCTTTTCAGAAGGGCCATTTCACAGCCTCTCTCAGGGTAACCAAGGGAGCCTGCTCTGAAGCATAATGTGTTCTTTTTATTTTTCAGACTGGCCCCAAAAGGCAGGAAGCAAGCCAAACAGGACACAGGCACAGCGTAATGACATGTTGTACTGACTCCCAGGAAAAAGGGAGGCGTGCTCCTAATTATGAGGCTGTTAAGGAAAGGGCTTCTTCCTCATTGTGGGTTTGGGCACGGTCCCTGACAGTTGGTCCTAGTGTTTGTCCTTGAGAGATGTGGGTGGAGATGCTTGATGTAACAGGTGCATAATTTAAGGAGGCAGAAGAGCCTGAGGGTCACACTAGGGGGGATGTTGCCAAGAAAAGCTGACCCAGTGGTAGTGTTCACCTGGACCCCTGGCATCTGAGCACCAATGTCTCTCCCAGCCCAGAATCCACAGGGAATGTGTTCACTGGGGGGGCTTCTTGAGCATTCTGCTGAAGCCAAGGGGCTGCTCAAGATGAAAGACTCAGACAAGGAGAAAGGCGCTGTAGCCATGTAAAGGCATGGACGTGAAAAAGAAGATCCTGTTGCTCAGACAGGGGGCCTCTATTGCCCAAAATGAAATGGAGAATTTTTTTTTTTTTTTGAGACAGAATCTCACTCTCTGCCCAGGCTAGAGTGCAGTGACACGATCTTGGCTCACAGCAACCTCCACCTCCCAGGTTCAAGCAATTCTCCTGCCTCAGCCTCTTGAGTAGCTGGGATTGCAGGGGAGAGTCCTCACACCTGGCTAATTTTTGTGTTTTTAGTAGAGTCAGGGTTTTGCCATGGTGGCCAGGCTGGTCTCAAATGCCTGACCTCGTGATCCACCCGCCTCAGCCTCCCAAAGTGCTGGGATTACAGGTGTGAGCCACTGGGCTCAGCCCAGAATGGAGGTTTTAAGAGATGCATCACCACAGTGAGGCTGGACCTGGGACATGCCCTTAATTACACCCTCTGTGAGGGAGCTGTCAACTCATTGCCATCTCTTTGGATTTTGGGAAGAAATGCTAGTCGCTACCTTCAATTAGGCAAATCTTCCTCAACTGCCCAAATCAAAGCCCCCAAATGATATCTGGACAGCCCAGATTGCAGTAGGGAGACAGAGGCCACTGGAAGGGAGCTTTGTCTTCTGGAAAAAAAAAAAAAAAAAAAACAACTCTGTATCTGATACCACAGAAACCTGGTTTTTGTAATTATTGTCTAATGGGAGAATAGAAAGCATGTTAGGACATTAGAAAGGAAAGACACAGAGCTAAGCTGTACAAGAAGGACAATGTAGTCAAAACACACTCCCTAGTCCTACAAAGAACATTGTCAATGTGTATATAATAAGGTAGCCTCTGTTTATTGATTTAAGCAAAAATAGAAATATAGTTACATGGGGAAAATGAAGAGAGGGGAGGGTGAGGTAAGAGAGCTAAGTCACAATCTATAGGAGGTAAACAAACAGGCAATGCCCAAATTTAATAAACTGCAAGTCTGAGTGTCTGCCTGGGGAGCGATGGGGTGTGGTCAGAGGTGGCACAAAGCAGTGCTTCAGCATCATCTTCATCATCACCTCACCACCATTCATCATCGTGCCTCCTATTAGTACTCTTAGCCATGTCTGTATACAATGTTTACTAAAAATTCATACACCTATAAAGAAGAAGTGCCCCAACCATCTGTAAAATGAAAATGTGCCTTCTGGAATAGCTGCTGTAGGAAGCAGGTATCTTGGGGCTTGCAAGGGGCTTGAAGGAGAGGGGTCTTCTGCACTGCCTTACCATCCCCATGCTGCCTTGGAGGATGAGCAGCAGCCAGGGCCCAGAGACTAGCCACCCGGGAGGTCATGCTCTTCCCGCCATCCAGCAGGGAAGAGCTCCTGATACTGAGGACCCCCAGAGAGGATCCCTCCCGAACCATGGGTCAGAACCTTCTCTTTACCTCCACACGTGAGAGGCAGCTGGCCCTCACTGGGGAAGGCCAGGTCAACTCTCCGGTTTCACACGGCTCTGTATATGGCTTTTTCCATTTAACATTATCTTGTGGGGGGTTTTGGTGTAATATGTGTCTTTTGGAATTTGATGTAAATGATATCTGGTCTCATCATGTGGCTAAACCAGGTTAACAGCATATCTAAAACACAACACTGTGCTGGCTAAGAGTGCAGGTGCGTCAATTCTATTTTCCGGGCTAGAAGCTGGGTTCTGCCACTTTCCAACTGTGTTACACTGGGGGACACAGAACTTCAGCTTCTATCTCTGTAAAATGAGTTAATAAAAGTACCTGATTCACAGGACACCTGTGAGATTTAAATAAACACCTGCAAAGTGCTCAAAGCAGGACCTGCTGCTTTGTATGCACATAATACATTCTAGCTGTTTTTTAGCAATCCCAGCCAGATTAGGTGCCTGGTGCCTGAAATCCCAGCTGCTCAGAGGCTGAGGTAGGAGTATCCCTTGAGCTCAACCATTTGAGCCTGCAGTAAGCTATGACTGTGTCACTGCACTCCAGCTTGGATGACAGAGTAAGACCCGGTCTCCAATAATAATAATAGTAATAAGCTATCTTCATCGTATTTTATTCATGTTTTCATTTATTTTCAGTCTTATTCTGTTGCCCATGTTGGAGTGCAGTGGTGTAATTTTGGCTCACTTCAAACTCTGCCTCCTGGGTTCAAGCAATTCTCCTGCCTTGGCCTCCTAAGTAGCTAGCTGGGACTACAGGCACATGCAACTAATCCTGGCTAATTTGGGTATTTTTAGTAGAAACATGGTTTCACTATGTTGGCCAGGCTTGTCTCAAACTCCTGACCTTTGGCAATCTGCCTGCCTCAGCCTCCCAAAGTGCTGGGCTTACAGCCATGATCCACTGTGTCTGGCCATCATCCTCATTTTAAATACAAAGTTTCTTTTTCCTAAAGTTCACCTTAATAAATCTCATTATACAATTTTTTATGAAACTTAATCACACACAAACATTCATATTCATTAAAGAAAAAAATAGACAATGCTTTTGAGCAAAAAAAGAAAATGAAAGCTACTTGGAATATTACCTTCTCCCACAAAGATAACCACAATATATTTGGTGTATATATTTCAAATCTCTTTCCTTTGCATGTGTGTATATACATATGTATAATATACATACACACACATATACATATATACACAAAATATATTCATACACTATATACACACATAACTCCTTATAAAAGTTTGTTTTGTGATACTGTTTTGTAGTTTTCTTTTTACCAGTTAAGAATAGATCATTTATAGTTTTCTTTTTCCATTTAAGAAAAAAGCAACAATATTTTTAACGGCTGCCTAGTATTCATTTTCACGTTTGCATTACTACTTGTTAGTACCCATTGTTCATCACAAACAACATTTTGTTATTCCAAGTTTTTTAATTTTTATTTGTTTTTTTATTGCATTTTGGGTTTTGGGGTACATGTGCAGAACATGCAAGATAGTTGCATAGGTACACATGTGGCAGTGTGTTTTGCTGCCTTCCTCCCCTTCACCCACATTTGGCATTTCTCTCCAGACCATCTCTCCCCAGCACCCCCGCTGTTCCTCCCCTATTCTCCCCAATAGACCCCAGTGTGTAGTACTCCCTTCCCCGTGTCCATGTGTTCTCATTGTTCATCACCTGTCTATGAGTGAGAATATGCAGTATTTCATTTTCTGTTCTTATGTCAGTTTGCTGAGAATGATGTTCTCCAGATTCATCCGTGTTCCTACAAACGACACAAACTCATCATTTCTGATTGCTGCATAATATTCCATGGTGTATATGTGCAACATTTTCCCAGTCCAGTCTATCATCGATGGGCATTTGGGTTGGTTCCAGGTCTTTGCTATTGTAAACAGTGCTGCAATGTGTCCTTATAGTAGAACAATTTATAGTCCTTTGGATATATACCCAGTAATGGGATTGCTGGGTCAAATGGAATTTCTATTTCTAAGGCCTTGAGGAATTGCCACACTGTCTTCCACAATGGTTGAACTAATTTACACTCCCACCAGCAGTGTAAAAGTGTTCCTATTTCTCCACATCCTCTCCAGCATCTGTTATCTCCAGATTTTTTAATGATCACCATTCTAACTGGTGTGAGATGGTATCTCAATGTGGTTTTGATTTGCATCTCTTTAATGACCAGTGACAATGAGCATTTTTTCATATGTTTGTTGGCCTCATGTATGTCTTCTTTTGTAAAGTGTCTGTTCATATCCTTTGCCCATTTTTGAATGGGCTTGTTTTTTTCCTGTAAATCTGTTTGAGTTCTGGATATCAGCCCTTTGTCAGATGGGTAAACTGCACAAATTTTTTCCCATTCTGTTGGTTGCTGATTCACTCTAGTGACTGTTTCTTTTGCCGTGCAGAAGCTGTGGAGTTTCATTAGGTCCCATTTGTCTATTTTGGCTTTTGTTGCCAATGTTCTTGGTGTTTTGGTCATGAAGTCCTTGCCTACTCCTATGTCCTGAATGGTTTTGCCTAGATTTTCTTCTAGGGTTTTTATGGTGCCAGGTCTTATGTTTAAGTCTTTAATCCGTCTGGAGTTAATTTTAGTGTAAGGTGTCAGGAAGGGGTCCAGTTTCTGCTTTCTGCACACGGCTAGCCAGTTTTCCCAACACCATTTATTAAACAGGGAGTCCTTTCCCCATTGCTTGCTTTTGTCAGGTTTATCCAAGATTGTTTGGTTTTAGATGTGTGGTGTTGCCTCCGATGCCTCTGTTCTGTTCCATTGGTCTATATCTCTGTTTTGGTACCAGTACCATGCTGTTTTGATTACTGTATCCTTGTAGTATAGTTTGAAGTCCGGTAGTGTGATGCCTCCTGCTGTGTTCTTTTTGCTTAGAATTGACTTGGCTATGTGGGCTCTCTTTTAGTTCCATATGAAGTTCAAGGTAGTTTTTTCCAGTTCTGTGAAGAAAGTCAGTGGTAGCTTGATGGGGATAGCATTGAGTCTGTAAATTACTTTGGGCAGTATGGCCATTTTCACAATATTGATTCTTCCTAACCATGAACATGGAATGTTTCTCCATCTGTTTGTGTCCTCTCTTATTTCATTGAGCAGTGGTTTGTAGTTTTCTTTGAAGAGGTCCCTTATGTTCCTTGTAAGTTGTATTCCTAGGTATTTTATTTTCTTTGTAGAAGACATACATGAGGCCAACAAACATATGAAAAAATGCTCATCATCACTGGTCATTAGAGAGATGAAAATCAAAACCACATTGAGATACCATCTCACACCAGTTAGAATGGCGATCATTAAAAAATCTGGAGACAACAGATGCTGGAGAGGATGTGGAGAAATAGGAACACTTTTACACTGCTGGTGGGAGTGTAAATTAGTTCAACCATTGTGGAAGAAAGTGTGGTGATTCCTCAAAAACCTAGAAATAGAAATTCTATTTGACACAGCAATCCCATTACTGGGTATATATCCAAAGGACTATAAATCATTCTACTATAAGGACACATGCACACAAATGTTCATTGCAGCACTGTTTACAATAGCAAAGACCTGGAACCAACCCAAATGCCCATCGATGATAGACTGGACTGGGAAAATGTGGCACATATACACCATGGAATATTATGCAGCAATCAAAAATGATGAGTTTGTGTCCTTTGTAGGGACATGGATGAATCTGGAGAGCATAATTCTCAGCAAACTGACACAAGAACAGAAAATAAAATACTACACATTTTCACTCATAGGGAGGTGATGAACAATGAGAACACATGGACACAGGGAAGGGAGCACTACACACTGGGATCTATTGGGGGGGATAGGGGAGAGACAGCAGGGGGGGCGAGCTGGGGAGGGATAGCATGGGGAGAAATGTCAAATGTGGGTAAAGGGAAGGAAGGCAGCAAAACACACTGCCACATGTGTACCTATGCAACTATCTTGCATGTTCTGCACATGTACCCCAAAACCTAAAATGCAATAAAAAAAATAAAAAATAAAATTTAAATTTAAAAAAAAAAGGAGCAAAATAGAGGCAAGCCCAAGTGGGAGCATCTAAATGAAGATTTACATGTACTAATCACTGTGGAAGATGGTCAGAACAGAGCAGAAATCAAATTGAAGAGAGCTGTTGAAGAAGCAAAGAAATGATTGGTACCTGCAGCAGAAGGAGAAGACAGCCTGAAGAAGATGCAGCTGATGGAGCTTGTAATTCTGAATGGCACCTACAGAGATACCAACATTAAATCACCAACAACCCAGGCTGCTCCAAGGATTATTACTGGGCCTGTGCCGGTTCTCCCACCAGCTGCCCTGCGTACTCCTACACCAGCTGGCCCTACCATAATGCCTTTGATCAGACAGATACAGATCACTGTCATGCCAAATGGAACTCCTCACCCAACTGCTGCAATAGTTCCTCCAGGGCCCAAAGCTGGCTTAATCTATACACCCTATGAGTATCCTTACACATTGGCACCAGCTACATCAATCCTTGAGTATCCTATTGAACCTAGTGGTGTATTAGGTGCGGTGGCTACTAAAGTTCGAAGGCACGATATGTGTGTCCATCCTTACCAAAGGATTGTGACCGCTGACCAAGCCGCCACCGGCAACTAACCTATGACCTTCTGACCTCTGAACTTTTCACCCAATGATGACCTGACCATGCCTGCCTGCTGATCAGTTAACTGGTAATCACCTTTGCTTGCCTGTCGTCAGTGCAGCAAGCTGAGGCACTTGTCAGTTCATCTTACCATCTAACCAAACAAAAGACAAAGAAATTGTTGTCCTCCAACTCAGTTTTTTTTTTTCCTGTTTGGGTGAAAGTGGTTCTAGTAAAGCAATAAGGCCCAATTCATCCTACAGCACTGATCATTTTCTAATATCCCACCCTAAGCAAATGGTAAGAAGGCCTCTCTTAAGAAGGGGAGACAGATGGCCCTTAACTACTCAATGACAGAGGCAGTTTCTGTGAGAGACTTCTAGCAATCTTCTTCTTCTCATAGTGAAGTTAAAGCTCTCTCTGAAGGTACTGCCTGATGATGCATGAACCTTCAGTCAGGGATGTCATTGGTGAAGTGATTTCTGTTTGGAAAACTCTGCCCCTACTGTGAAAGCTCTCTTTCCCTCCCCCACGAAGAGGCTCCCTTATCTCTCACTCTACATACCGCTCTAGCCTTCCCGCCAGGCCGCAGCCACCTCCCGCCTGGCAACCGGTTGACCAATCACCGCCCGCCTCATTAGCTCTTCCCAGTTTCCCACCGCCCAGCTTCCCCACCACCCAGCTTCCCTGCCCAGCGGTTTAAACTGACCAACCGTTGCCCGCCACCTCAGCTCCCCCAGCCTTCCCACTCCCTCAGCCTTTCAGCCCCCCTATAAAAGAGCTCTGCTCCTCTGAGTGGTGCGGCCATTTTCCTCTTCCTCCCGGCTGGTCCGCCCGGAGGCTCTTTCCTCTCAATAAAGCCTGAACTTAAGGAATTTCCTCTAACCTGCGGTCCGGTTTTTTCTGAACGAGCTCAGTCCTCCTGCAGAGGGTAGGTCGGACAAATGGTGCCGAAACCCGGGAGCTGGGGCCATTGGCCCGGCCACGGCCCCCCTCCCCAACCTACCCAACACTGGCCCTGCCACCTCCATGCTCCGATTAAGGTAAGCCAAGTTTTTCTTGCTTTGCCTTCCCCCCGCCCCCCTCTCATCTTCCTACGGCACGGTGCAGTTGCTCTCCTCCGGCGTTCCGCACGGACTCCTCGCCTAGTCTTGGCCGAGCCGAGGAAGTCCTCCATTCCAGCTCCAGGAGCCTTCCGAGGGATAGCCGCCAGACGGGGGATGCCCCTCTGACCGCTTCCGTATCCGTACTTAACCGTACACCGGGGAATTTGCAACGAAAGGGGACGCCTTTTCTTTGCATCTGCCCATCCGCGCTGGAGGGTCTGTAGCTGTGCCTGCCATGGGAAATTCGGAGTCCAAAATACCTTCGAGCACCCCCCCTTGGGTGCTTGCTGCGAAATTTTACCAAATTGGGATACTCCCAAACCCTCAGAAAGAAAAAGCGTATCTTCCTGTCCCAGGTGGCTTGGCCCCAATACAAACTCGGTAACCAGTCACATTGGCCCCCGACTGGCACTTTTGATTTCAACACCCTCCGAGATCTCGATGATTTTTGTCGCCGCACGGGCAGGGACAATGAAATTCCTTACGTCCAGGCTTTTTGGGACCTCTGTACCCACCCCGACCTATGTTCTTCCTGCTCCACCTACCAAATCCTCTTAGCTCGAACCCCTCGTAAATCTTCCTCCACTACCTCTCCCCCTCCCTACTCCTCACTGGAGGATCTGCCTGAACATCTGTCCTCTCCTGCCAATCTCAGCAACCAGTTGCCATCAACGGCACGCCCTTCCCCCACTCCCTCTGCACCTCCTACCTCAGAGGCCATGCCTCGCTCTCCCTCTACTCCCTCCGAGCCCCCTCCCTCAGAGGCCGCACTTCCTCTTGCCTCTCCAGTGGCGGCCCACACCCGCTCTCACCAGCCAGCTATCCTGGCCCCACTCCGAGAAGTAGCAGGCGCAGAAGGTTTAATCAGGGTCCATGTTCCTTTCTCACTCCAAGACCTGTCCCAAATTGAGAAACGTTTAGGATCCTTCTCAGCCGACCCGTCCACCTATATTAAGGAATTTCAATACCTCACTCAAGCCTACAGCCTCACTTGGCATGATATTCGCGTTATCTGTTCCTCCACCCTCACAGTGGAAGAGCACGAGCACATCCTAGCGGCAGCCAGAAACCAAGCAGATAAAGACCATGCTATAGATAACCAGATCCCCCTAGGCCCCGAAGCAATCCCAGGTGAAGACCCCCAATGGGACTATCAGGCTAATCGAGGGTCTGATATACCCAAGAGGGACCGCATGATCAGATACCTCCTCAGGGGAATGGATGCTGTTTCTAACAAAGTTGTAAACTATGATAAACTGAGAGAAATCACCCAACTACCTGATGAGAACCCCACCCTCTTTCTCGCCCACTTGCAAGAAGCCCTCGTCCGGTATACTCGACTAGACCCAGCCTCCCAAAACGGGGCCACTGTAATAGCCTCCCATTTTATCTCCCAATCAGCACCCGACATAAGAAAGAAACTAAAGAAAGCAGAAGAGGGGCCAGAGACTCCCATCCAAGACCTGGTAAAAATGGCCTTTAAAGTATTCAATGCCAGGGAAGATGCGGCTGAGGCTGCCCGCCAAACTTGCATGAAGCAGAAGGCTGCCCTCCAGACCCAAGCCCTAGTGGCGGCTCTAAGGCTGGCAGGGAACCAGAAGCCCAAGGCCGAAACCCATGCCCCTCCAGGGGCATGTTTCAAATGTGGAAAGGAAGGACACTGGTCCAGAGCCTGTCCACAACCACGGCCACCAACTAAGCCTTGCCCTATCTGTTGGCTCCCGGGACACTGGAAGTCAGACTGCCCCAGCTTCCCCAGGGTGCCGGTTCCTCAAAACAGACACACTGGCATTACGCAGCCGGTGGTCACCCTCAGTAGGGAGGAGCCTGCTTGCCAGGAGCCGACCTCTGAGGGAGCTCCATTCGCCAGTCTACTAGGGCTGCTAGATGACTAGTGGGGCCCTGGCTTACCAACTCCGGTTACCCTCGCCGAGCCAAGGGTCAAAATTCAGGTAGCGGGTAAAAGTGTCTCGTTCTTGCTCGACATGGGGGCTACCTACTCCGCACTTCCTTCCTATTCTGGCCGTCTCACTCCTTTCCAGGTCTCGGTCATGGGAATCGACGGGACCCCGAGTATCCCCTACCAAACCCCACCACTCATGTGCTCATATAACTCCACTCCCTTCACCCACTCCTTTTTAGTAATCCCCACCTGCCCAGTTCCCCTTCTGGGGCGAGACATCCTTTCAAAGCTGAAGGCCGTCATAACCTTCCCCACCGCCAACCCACACAGCCTCTTTCTCCTAGCCCTCACCTCAGATACCAAACCCCAAAAAGCCCTATTCGAACTCCTCCCCGGAGTCCATCCTCAGGTCTGGGACACTAACAACCCGTCTGTAGCTACCCACCACCAGCCAGTTCAGGTCCGCCTTAAAGACTCCTTGCCTCATTTTCTCTCCCGCCCTCAATTTCCCATCTCTAAAGCCCACCGTATGGGTATCAGACCCATCATAGAGAAACTAAAGGGTCAAGGCCTCCTAATCCCCATTAACTCCCCATGTAATACCCCCATCCTCCCAGTACGAAAACCCTCAGGACAATATAGGCTGGTCCAGGACTTGCACTTAGTCAATGAAGCTGTAATTCCCATACATCCAGTTGTCCCCAACCCATATACCATTCTCTCTCTCACATTCCCCTAGGGACCACCTGCTTCTCAGTCTTAGACCTAAAGGATGCCTTCTTCACTATACCTCTACACCCTAACTCCTACTTTATCTTTGCCTTCACTTGGGACGATCCCATTACGAACATGTCCCAACAACTGGCTTGAGCAGTCCTTCCACAGGGCTTCGGAGATAGCCCCCACCTGTTCAGCCAGGCACTCGCCACCGACCTGCTCCACTGCAACCTCAAGCCCTCTCACCTCCTCCAGCTGGATTGAAGCTTACCCCACAGCCTCTGAGTCTGCCGGGACAGTAGCCACTCATCTCATTCAAGACATCATCCCATGCTTTGGACTCCCGGCCACCAGTCAGACAACAGCCCAGCCTTTATCTCCAAAGTCACTAATGCTGTTTCTACCTCTCTAGGAATTCAGTAGAAGCTACATGCCGCCTACCATCCCCAGTCCTCTGGTAAGGTAGAACGGGCCAATAGCCTAATAAAGGAGCATCTGACCAAGCTCATGCTTGAGCTCTGCCAATCCTGGGTAACCTTGCTTCCTATCGCCCTCACCAGGTTAAGAGCAAGCCCCCGAGGCCCATCACAGTTTAGCCCATTTTAGCTGCTGTATGGTCGCCCCTTCCTACTTTCAACTCCCGGAGATTTAATTCTTATTAAATCCCTCTCCCCAAAGTCCCTCGCCCCCAAGTAGGAAGGACCATACACAGCCCTCCTTACCACTCCATCAGCTATAAGAATTGCTGAAGTCCCATCTTGGGCTCACTTGTCTCGGGTAAAAAAGGCCCCTCATGGACCCTCCCTATGCTAGAAGGCTGTTCCTACTGGCCCTTTATCTGTCAAACTTACCAGGGCCTAGCAGCCACACCCCCTACAGGTGGAGATTCTTCCTAACTGAAAACTATACAAAAACCACCTTCATCTGGAACACCCCCCCATACAGCCACAACCATCTTCTTGCAACTTCCGACTGCCCTGCAGCTGGATGCCGAAGCGCCAAATGCTACAAGCACCGCTCCACCACACCCGGCAGGCTGCTTTTCTACCCCTAGCCGTAGGCCTCTCCCTAGTAACCTCGGCACTTGCAGCTGGACTGGGAGGAGCACTAACCCACTCTCACCAAGCTATAGCCCGGCTAACCTCACAATTCCAAACTGCTGTTGATGACTCTGCTGAGTCATTAGCATCACTCCAATGACAGATTACCTCAGTTGCCCAAGTTGCCTTGCAGAACCAAAGAGCCCTAGACCTGCTCACTGCTGAACGAGGAGGGACCTGTATCTTCCTACAAGAAGAGTGCTGTTACTACATCAATGAATCCAGCCTAGTAGAAACCCAAATCGAGAGCCTCCAGAAACTCAGAACTAACCTGCAGAATCAAAAATTCTCGGCTGAAGCCACAGCGTGGTGGTCTTCCTCTATGTATACCCTCTTGTCCCCATTGCTTGGGCCCCTAGTAGCCATTTGCCTAATCTTACTTATTGCTCCTTGCTTTCTACAGTTCCTACAGCGGCACTTTCAAGAACTGACTCGAGTCACCATCCACCAGATGCTGCTCCAACCCTACCCTGAACGAGTGCAAGAAACAGACCTCTCCCCAAACATCCAGGCTCCTTAAGAAAAGAAACCTCTTCAGAACCCCCTGTCGACCCTTGTCAGCAGGAAGTAGCCAGAGAGACAACCGACGCCCCTGACCCCCTCTTTTCTTCTTTTCTTTTAAGGAGTCGGGAATGTTTGGAAAACCCTGCCCCTACCGTGAAAGCTCTCTTTCCCTCCCCCACAAAGAGGCTCCCTTATCTCTCACTCTACATACCGCTCTAGCCTTCCCGCCAGGCCGCAGCCACCTCCCTCCCGGCAACCGGTTGACCAATCACCGCCCGCCTCATTAGCTCTTCCCAGTTTCCCGCTGCCCAGCTTCCCCGCCACCCGGCTTCCCCGCCCAGCGGTTTAAACTGACCAACCGTTGCCCGCCACCTCAGCTCCCCCGGCCTTCCCACTCCCTCAGCCCTTCAGCCCCCCTATAAAAGAGCTCTGCTCCTCTGAGCGGTGCGGCCATTTTCCTCTTCCTCCCGGCTGGTCCGCCCAGAGGCTCTTTCCTCTCAATAAAGCCTGAACTTAAGGAATTTCCTCTAACCTGCGGTCCGGTTTTTTCCGAACGAGCTCAGTCCTCCCGCAGAGGGTAGGTCGGACAATTTCAAAAAGTATTCAAAATCTGATATGCTATTTAGTCACTACAGTGCCCTCCAAGGGCAGAAGCTGCAGTCTTTCTTATATTGCCTGCCAAAATTTGAAGTACTAGAGGAAAGAGTGCCATGAGAGGAGAAACTCAAGTTTTGAAAAGTAATACAAATAACAAAACGGCAACACTATTTTTCAAAAGATAAATATCTGAGTTAAAATTACTGAATCTTCATTTTACACTTTCTAAAAATATATATAAGAACAAGGTACACGCATTATGTGTCACATTACTGGGCAAACTATTCAAGTATTTTTTAAAAAACATCCCTGTATAGAAAAAAATCATTAAGGATGTAAAAGCCATGCTTGCCTATTTGCCTTATACATGTAATGGAATTGTAGATAAAGTGTAGTGCATTGAAACAAATGAACAAAAAGTGGATACTTTTACTATACAAGGGTGCTGGTGCAGAAAAAATGTATGTATTTTTGGAAATGTAGCATTTTATACTTTCAAGTGTTATTTAAAAAAAAAAAAGAAAAAGAACAAAGAAACCCTTTATTTTATTAAATGATTTTTTCTGGTGGTTGTCAAGAAACAAAAGACCAAAAGAGCCTTTATGTCTTTCTTTTTCATTTTTTTAAGTATTGAAATAAGTCTAAAGAAAAGAAAGTGCCTTATTTTCCTTCATGGTCATTTAGTCAAGTGTCTCATAAAGATAGCTCCTCCCTCAGAATACAAGTTAATGATGTTACTCAGTCACCCAGTATGTGAAAGAAGATGTGAGGGAGACAAATGAGTTGATGGTTTGAATCATATGATTTTTGCCATGTTACCTTGATGCAAATTTGCCAAATCTGATACTGTGAAAAGATTTGATAATTTTTCTAATTCCTGACTAGCAAGTTTTAAAACATCATTCTTTAAAAAAATCATAATTGAATACTTTGGTTATTCCAATCTTCAATGATAACCCAGAGGACTCTGAGATAAAAATTATGTGTGACTTGAACTTCAGACAAAGTTAGAGCTTTGTTTTATTTGGAGAAGAAGGATGCATTCATTTTGTTTCGTTTTTTTATTTCATTTTTAATTTAATTGGAGATAATAGGATCCCTAGCAAATGTTTTCACAAAAGTGACTCTTTGTGATTTTCATTCTGGAAAACAATGTTTTTAATAACCCAAATGTAACCACGTGTCTTTATATCATACCAGATAACTTGTGTAATGCATCTCTTTATGGTTTTAGTAACCTCTGCCTCCCCCGCCCTTTAACTTTAAAAGAATGTGAAAAACTAGCATCGTAGTGCATATAATACTCAACCACATTTCAGCTTAAGCTTCTAATTTCTCCAGAAGTTCAAGCAGTTATGTAGTTCAAGCAATTTGTGCACAAAGCCTACATCTAAACACTTGAGTGTGAATAATCATTAACTGCTCAGTACCAGATGTGGCAAATCTCAAGTGACAGTGGACTTCCCTCCAGCTTACCAACTCATCCCCTCTTGCACACCTTCCCAGCGTCACAGTCAGAGGTCAGCAGGAAGCTTAGTCAGTACCTTCCTGGTGACCTCCCCCACCATCTTCTCTCACTTGGAAACCCTTGTCAGTTTATTTACTATGCAATAGACATTCACTGTTTTGTATCCAGCTAGCTTTGGTTTAATATGCCACTGCTTTGTCTTTCTGTTACACATACAGTTTTGATTTGTTTACAGTATATGCTGTGCCATGTAGATTTTTATATTGTTTAGTTGGTTGAATCAATTTATGACACTCAAACACTTGAGGTGATAGTTATTAAAAACAATACCAGTATTTGATCCAGTTTCACCTCAACTATGTTATACCTGGACATTTTAGATGTTTATCAAAGGTCTTTTATGGGACAGAAAGTAAATGTATGAAATAATAAATGTGTGACATTTACAGATAATGTTGGCTCTGAGCAAACTTTTGAAAACTTGGTTAACAAAATTTTGGAGCAACTGAAAAAACAGCATGACTTTTGAAATCTCTGAAGGCCTCGGTTCTCAGTATTATCATTCTTTATTGAATTTATTTTTTATTAAAATATGTAGTTTTTAAGACTTTTTCCTGACAGTATTATGTAATTTTTTAGCGTGGGTAGATGGGAGTGTCGCTTGTATGTTATCGTACAGCTGACATGTATTTTTGTCTATTCTTTATTATCTTAGCAGTTTCATGCTATGTATATACCATAACCAACCTATTGCCTATGAGAAGCATGTAAGATAATATATTTACAGCCATTGTCACAAGTTCATAATGTATTTTTCTATCTTGTTTTATATGTACGTTACATAACATTCAAGAAGAACTTTTTTCTTGATTGAGAGGATACAAAATGCAAAATCCACAATTTTGATAACTGAAAATTGCCAGTTGTTTTGCAGTACTTTATTATATTGGGTGTCTTGTTTTTCTGGGGCTTTTAGTTAGCTAATGAATGAATACATTAGACACTTTTGGGTTTTAGTTGGGATTTTACAAAGCTTACATTTTAATTCTTTGGTTCCTTGCTGTTTCTATTAACCCATAGCATTATTTTAATAAATGTTATAATACCAACCTACTTTTTAAAAAATAGAATTTTATTACATAATGTTTGCCTACACTTCTTTTTCCAAAGCTGTTTATATTCTTTCTTGGTTTTCACTAACACAATTTTGTCCTCCTGTCAAGCAACCAATACACATAATAGTAAGTGAATAATTACAGAAGAGAAACATGAAAGTCTTCTTAAATGTGTGTATATAATCTGTCAGGGGATTAGAGAAAAAAATGTGTGTATAAATAATATAAATTCAAATACAGTAAAAGGTTGTGCTTTAACAGTTTACAACAATCATATCAGAAAATCCCCAAACAAAATATTGGTTCATGCAATAAATGGTTAGGAAGCAACTACTGACACTGTGGGGTTCTGTGCCAAGCCCTGTGACACTGTCAAGCCACGTTCTTCCTTTTGCCCTTCAGACTTGCATGCCTCACTTTATACTTACACTTTGGAGTAAGTAAACACCACAAAGGTTTGATTAGCATACCAAACTTAATGTGTCCAAAGTAAATAAAACTCCAAATGTCTAACACAAAACTACTCTTCTCCCAATCTCCCCTATTAGTTAAAAACATCCCCAATCTTCCATTTCCTCAAGCCAAAACTTTGGAAGTATCCTTACCTCTGGCCTTCTCATTGTGTACCCAATATCTTGGCAAACTATAAGCAGCTCCACCTTTAAAAATTAAAGGTCTTCCCAGTTCCACAGCTAGCACCCTGGTCAAAACCATCACTGTCTCTATCCTGGAGAATAACAATATTAGCTTCTTTTCTTTCTTTTTTTTGAAATAGACTATCGCTTTGTTGTCCAGGCTGGAGTGCAGTGGTACTATGCTGGCTCACTGTAACCTCCACCTCCCAAGTACAAGCAATTCTCCTACCTCAGCCTCCTGAGTAGCTGGGATTACAGAGGCATGCCACCAAACCTGGCTAATTTTTGTATTTTTGGTAGAGACAGTGTTTTACCATATTGGCCAGGCTGGTCTTGAACTCTTGACCTCAGGTGATCTGCTGGTTTTGGCCTGCCAAGGTGCTGGGATTGTAGGCATGAGCCACTGCAGCCAGCCTACAGTACCTTCTTAACTGGACTGCTGCTCCCAATTTTGCCTCAGAATAGTGTATTTTTCCATAAAATGCATACATAATATATTCATGCTTACATTGAAATGAACAACCACCAAAAAAATTCCCCTTTTTTGAGATTCTCACACTGTCACTCAGGCTGGAGTGCAGTGGTGCCATCTTGGCACACTGCAATCTCCACCTCCAAGGATCAAGCGATTCTCCTGCCTCAGCCTCTTGAGTCACTGGGATTACAGGAATGTGCCAAAAAAACTGCCTGGCTAATTTTTGCAGTTTTGTTAGAGACAGGGTTTTGCCATGTTGGTCAGGCTGGTCTTGAACTCCTGGCCTCAAGTGATCTTCCCACCTCAACCTCCCAAAGTGCTGAGATTACAGGTATGAGCCACTACACCCAGCCTAAAAGAAATCATAGGCCAGGTGTGGTGGCTCATGCTTGTAATCCCAGTACTTTAGGAGGCCAAGATGGGTGGATCACCTGAGGTCAAGAGTTTGAGACTAGCCTGACCAACATGGTGGAACCTTGTCTCTATAAAAAAAAAAAAATCACTTTGTCCTATGTGATAAAATGCTAAGCTTTTTCATACTTCTTTATATTTTTCATATTATCTATAAAAAGATATGCAAAGCTTTGAATATTTTACTTATATCTATTACAAACACAGCACAAGAGACTTGTCCAGTTTTCCCTGTTTGTTAAATCAGGATAAAGATTCTGTGCAAACGACTGCTGAAGTACACACTCAGCTTACTCTTGGTAAATTTATGCCATGGTTTTCTACTTCCTCTTCCCCGTCTTCTTTTTCTTATTTCATTATGACTGTCAATGGGAGAGCCTGAAAAATGTACAAACAAAGAGAAAAGCATTGGCAAATATTAGTGGTATCCAGAGTGGGGGGGCGGGGTGAGAAAAGGTCAGTCATTGGCTATTTCATAAAATTTTTAAAAAGTGGAGCCCAATCTCATACCTATTCATTATAACAAAATTACTAATGAGATTAGCCAAGTGTAGTGGCTCAAGCCTGTAATCCCATTGACTTAGGAGGCTGAGATGGGAGGATCTCATCTTTGAGGCCAGGAATTCAAGATCAGCTTAGGCAACATAGCAAGATTCCAGCTCTAATAAAATAAAACTTAGCCAGGCACAGTGGTGGATGCCTGCAGTCCCAGCTACTTGGTAGGCTGAGATGAAAGGATTGTTTGAGTCCAGAAGTTCAAGGCTACAATAGGCCATAATTGTGCTACTGCACTCCAGCCTGGGCATCAGAGCAAGACCCTGTCTCAAAAGTATAAATAGGTAAAATAAAAATTTCAAAAAATTATCCAGGCCATGGGGGCACATGCCTGTTAACCTAGTTGTTTGGGAGGCTGAGGTGGGAGGATCATTTTAGAAAGCCCAGGAGGTCAAGGTGGCAGTGAGCCATGGTCATGACACTGCACTCCAGGCCTGGGTGACAGAGTGAGACCTTGTCTCAAAAAAAAAACAAAACTTGTTTTTCATTAAGATACAAAGCTACCTGTGATCCTGGATTAGAACTGATATTGTTAAGATATCTATACTACTCAAAGTCATCTACAGCTTTAGTGAAATCCCTATTTTTGAAACCCCAAAGGCATGTTTTGCAGAGTAGAACATTTCATCCTAAAATGTATATGGAATCTCAAGATATCCTAAATAGTCAAAACAATCTTTAAAACGAGGACAGAGTACCTTTTGATTCCAAAACTTACTACAAATCTACAGTGAAACAGTGTGGTACTAGTGTGTGTACAAGTGTGTCTATATATTCTGTAGATATTTTCTTGAGGTTACCACTGCAATTACAGTGTGGTACTAGCACAAAGGCAGGCATATAGACCAGTGGGATACACTAGATAGCTCAGAAATAAATCCTCACAAACATGGTCACATGATTTACAAGGTGTCAAGACCATTCATAGGGGACAGGACAGCCTTTTCAACAAACAGTGCTGGGAAAACTGGGTATCCACATGCAAAATAATCAAGTTGGATCCTAACCTTACACCATACACAAAAATTAACTTGAAATGATTCAAAACCTAAATGCAGGAGCTAAAAGTATAAAATTGCTAAAAGAACTGAGCATGGTGAGTCATGCCTGTAATCCCAGCACTTTGGGAGGCTGAGGTGAGCAGATCATGAGGTAAAGAGATCGTGACCATTCTGGCCAACTGGCCAGGCTGGGCGTGGTGGCATGCACCCATAGTCCCAGCTACTTGGGAGGCTCAGGAGGGAGAATCACTTGAACCCAGGAGGCAGAGGTTGCAGTGAGCTGAGATTGTACCACTACACTCCAGCCTGGGCAACAGAGCAAGACTTCATCTCAAAAAGTAAACAAATAAAATAAAAGAAAGCAGAGGGGAAAAGCAACATGCCATTGGATTTGGCCTGAGTTCCCGGATATGACACCAAAACCAAAGGTAACAAAAGAATAGGACTGCACCAAAACTGAAAACTTCTGTGCAAAAGACACAATGAACAGAGTGAAAAGGCAATCTGTGGAATGGAGCTAAATATTTGTAAATCATATCTGACAAGGGGTTAATATAAAGATATATAAAGAAACTACAACCCAACAACAAACAAACGTGATTTTAAAATGGGCGAAGGACTTAAACAGATATTCCTCCAAAGAAGGTATGTGAACGGCCATTAAGCTCATAAAAAATGTCCAACATCTAATCATTAGGGAAATAAAAAAAAAAAAAAATCAAATCCACAGTGACACATCGTCTCACTCTGTTAGGATAGGATGAAACACACAAAAAAACAAGTGCTATGAAGAAATTAGAGTCCCCAAACACTGGAAATGTATTATGGTGTGGCCATTATGAAAACCAATGTGGTGGGCCAGGCACCATGGCTCACTTTTGTGATCCCAGCACTTTGGGAGGCCGAGGTGGGCAGATCACCTGAGGTCCAGAGTTCAAGAACAGCCTGGCCAACATGGCAAAATCCCATCACTATTAAAAATACAAAATTAGTTTAGCACCAAGGATCGCTATAACAAAACAAAACAAAATTAGGCCGGCCACTGTGGCTCACGCCTGTGTAATCCCAGCACTTTGGGAGGCTGAGGCAGGTGGATCATCTAAGGTCAGGTGTTTGAGACAAGCCTGGCCAACATGGTGAAACCCTGTCTCTACTAAAAATACAAAAATTAGCTGGATGTAGTTGCAGGTGCCTGTAATCCCAGCTACTTGGAAGGCTGAGGCAGGAGAATCTCTTGAACCTGAGAGGCAGAGATTGCAGTGAGCCAAGATAGCACCATTGCACTCCAGTCTGGGCAACAGAGTGAGACTGTCTTAAAAAAAAAAAAAAAAAAACCAGGCCAAGTGTGGTGGCTCATGCCTGTAATCCAAGCACTTTGTAGGACAAGGCTGGCGGATCACCTGAGGTTGGGAGTTCAAGACCAGCCTGACCAACAGGGTGAAAACCCATCTTAAAAAAAAAAAAAAAAGGAAAGAAAGAAAAGCAAAACAGTATGGTGGTTTCTCAAAAATTAAATATTATTATATAATTCAGCAATTCCACTTTTAGGCAAATACCCAAAATAACTGAAAGCATGCACTTGAACCACAATTTGTACACCTATGTTAATAGCAGCATATAGTTCACAGTAGCCGTGACTCAATATAAAAAGGTCCCAACATTTCTACAAAGCAAATGTGCACATGTAACACTTGTAAAAAACATAAGTTTCTTTCTTTTTTTTTTTTTGAGACGGAGTTTCACTCTTGTTACCTAGGCTAGAGTGCAATGGCGCCATCTCAGCTCACCACAACCTCCTCCTCCTGGGTTCAGGCAATTCTCCTCCCTCAGCCTCCTGAGTGGCTGGGATTTTAGGCACGCGCCACCATGCCCAGCTAATTTTTCGTATTTTTAGTAGAGACGGGGGTTCACCATGTTGACCAGGAGTGGTCTTGATCTCTCGACCTTGTGATACACCCGCCTGAGCCTCGCAAAGTGCTGGGATTACAGGCATTAGCCACCACGCCCGGCCATACGTTTCTTAAAATAAAAACTGAGTACCTATAGTAAGAGCAGCAACCAAACCAACATGCTTTGTATGGCTATGGCCCCACAGTGAGGAGTGGGGCCTCTGGAGCCTGCCTACCTGTGATTAACTTCTGGCTCCGAGGCTGACAGGCCACAGCATACAGCTGACTGCCACTGCCCTCCTGGGCCACTCTCCTTGTCTCTGGCTGCTCTCCAGGCCCTGGGATAAAGGCCATTCCTACAGCATCTTCTTGGAGGACTTCACATTCTAATGGCATCACTTCTGGGCCCACTGTAGATGGAGCACCTTTGACTTAGGTTATTACTCATTAAACACAACCTATTAAGGTACGAGCCACCACTGGAACTAACGAAGCCATCTCCTCTCAGCTAGAGCTCATCTAGAAGAAGAAATCCAGGATCCACATATGTTGCAAGTGCACCTTCCCAGAGAACACGAGTGTTGGTTTCTTCCATATCCCAGGTTTGAAAAGCTGGGATATGGAAGAAATTATTTCTAAATTTCACGGAATATCAAATCTGTGAACTGAAGGGAAAAAATGCCCAGGACATTTCTACAATTCTTCTGGTATAGCTCTTTTACTTTGAGAATGTTTTGTTTTCAGCATTTATCCTGTTAACATTTAACCATATAGGAAAGTAAAGGGAAGAGTATAATTAGGCTGAGGATCCTTTCACTGAAATTTAATATATAGCAATACGTGGCCAATTTTTATCATCTTGATACCCCACCCTCATTATTTTCAAGTGAATCTCACACGTCATTCACCCAAAAATATGTCCATGTGTATCTCTAAAATATAGTCTTTTTAAATGCTGTCATGGGTTAAGATTTAAATACCTGAGCCTCTAGTAAAGTCCTATCCCCAATTCTACCATACAGCAATCATACACAATTACTCTGATGACATGAGCTGTCCCCAGCCTATAAACTTGCACTTTTAAAAGATGAAAACCAGGCTGAGCAAAGTGGCTCATGCCTGTAATCCTAGCACTTTGCAAGGCTGAGGTGAGCAGACTGCTTCGAGCTCAGGAGTTTGAGATCAGCCTGGGCAACATAGCAAAACCCTGTCTCTACCAAAAAAAACATACAAAATTAGCCAGTTGTGGTAATATGCCAGCTACTCAGGAGGCTGAGGTTGGAGAATAGCTTTGAATCCAGAAGGCAGAGGTTGCAGTGAGCTGAGATTGCCCAACTCCATCTAGCCTCAGAGACAGAGTGAGACCCTGTCTGGAAAAGAAGGGAGGGAGGGAGGGAGGGAAGCCCAAATACCTATTAATACAAAGCACAAGTGCATCAAGTAGGGAGCCTTCTGCAAAAGAAACAGGCTTTGGTGGCTCACACCTGTAATCCCAGCACTTTTGGAGGCTGAGGTGGGTGGCTCACGAGGTCTGGAGATCTAGATCATCCTGGCATGGTGAAACCCCATCTCTACTAAAAAAAATACAAAAATTAGCTGGGCGTGGTTGTGCATGCTGTAATCCCAGCTACTTGGGAGGCTAAAGCAGGAGAATCACTTGAACCAGGGAGTCAGAGGTTCCAGTGAGCTGAGATGGTGCCACTGCACTGCAGCCTGGTAACAGAGCAAGACTTTGTCTCAAAAAAAAAAGAAAAAGAAAACATGCTTTGGTCTCCACCAAAGAAACTCACCTTTGGAAGTTAGGACAAATCTCTAGTCCAGGTTCTGAATGATGAAGTGTTGAATTCTGGAGCAGCAGTCATTAAACATAACCCTGAGATGCCCACCCTACACATACCCTAGACACAGGCCTGCCCCAGCCCCAGCCCCGCCCGAGATATAGCCCTACCCTAGACACACCTTTTGATTGCTTTACCTAATGCAGCTTTTTAAATCCCATTCATTCAATGAGTGCCAAGTGAAAATAATTTTCTTATTTAATCCCTACCGCACCCTTATAACATGCATACCATTTTAATCCTACTTAGATTTGAGGACAGTGGGGGCAGAAAGGTTTAGATCTCAGGGTGAGCCTCTGAACCAGGCAGTCTGACCTTGATCACTTTCATGTTTATAGACTGCTCTGTGAGGATGGAAGCCTGTCAGGCTCACATAAGATCCACCTCACTTGATATGGATCCACATCACTTGATATTGCTTACAGAATGCTGAGACTGGAGGCAGGAGTAACCAGAGATTAACACTGAATAAGGACATTATAAGATCTAAAACCACCTTATGAGATAGGCAAAACCTCCATATTACAGACAAGGGAACTGCAGCCTTTTCTGGGTTTGTTTGTTTGTTTGTTGTTTTGTTTTCACAACCCTAAGACATTGTACTTTCTCAAATATGTGGGATAAAGTAGTAACACTCGGAGGGGTTTTGTCCTCCAGATTTGGAAAATGCAGCTCATGCTTGACAACTGTTTTATATTAATCCATCTTAATTCAGGGTGATCCACGTGTTCGTTCTACTTAAACCAATTGCTTCAAGTTATGAGGACTCATTATATGGCCAGGCCAAAGAACAGATTTTTTACACATTATCTTACCTAAATCTTACAGTGCCTTACAGGGATATATATTATTGTACAGATGGTGCACTGAGAGATTAGCTAATTTACCTGAGGTCAAACTCTAAGAAGAGGAAAATAACTAGCAGGAATTAAAGCAGGTGAAAATAAGGTTGTAATTGGGCAAGGTAGTGGCAGACTTGCAGGCAGGAAAGAGCCCCAGATGAATTCAGTTTCTCATTTTATTCCAGGTGGATCATGGCCCTGTAACAAGAAAAAAGAAAAAGCAGGAGGAACAACTCGTGGTTTTCTTCATTTCTGTGCAATGAAGATTAACATAACTCCTTCCTTCCTTCCTTTATTTATTTATTTATTTAACGAATTCTCACTTTGTCACCAGACAAGTAGAGTGGCATCTTACCTCATTGCAACCTCTGCCTCCCAGGTTCAATCAATTCTCCTGTCTCAGCCTCCCAAGTAGCTGTCGTGGCACACACCACCACACCTGGCTAATTTTTGTATCTTTTTGTAGAGATTGGTTTCGTCACATTGCCGAGGCTGGTCTCGAACTCCTGAGCTCAAGTGACCCACCCCACCTTGGCCTCCCAAGCACTGGGACTACAGGTGTGACCCACCGTGCCCACCCATGGTTTATTTTTATTCTCAGTACCTTGAAATCACACTAGGTGGCAACCGTCCCGGTCCCTCCCCCATCAAGCTGCTTCCAAAAAACATTTTATCAGGCTTTCTCGCTTTTCATTCTTTTCTCAACTCCAGTCTCTTTGTTCTCACTCCATTGTTTAGACATCACTGGTGAAAGTTAACAAACCAGCTCCTAAACTGCTCTATCTACAGTTAATCTTCCTCCCTAAATCACCGAACATTGTTGGGCAATCTTTCTTTTCCTTGAAAACTCCCCTACTTCAGATTTTTTTTTCTTTTGAGACAGAGTTTTCCTCTGTTCCAGGCTGGAGTGCAGTGGCACTATCTCGGCTTACTGTAACCTCCGCCTCCCGGGTTCAAGCAATTTTCCTATCTCAGCCTCCTGAGTAGCTGGGATTACAGGCACCTGCCACCACGGCCCCCTAATTTTTGTATTTTTAGCAGACACAGCTTCACCATGTTGGCCAAACTGGTCTTGAACTCCTGGCCTCAGGTGACCCACCCGCCTCAGCGCCCCCGCAAAGTGCTGGGGTTGCAGGAGTGAGCCACTGTGCCCAGCCCAGATTCTTTATTAACCTCGGCTTTGGTGGATGCTCACTAAGTCCTTGATCGTTCTTCAAAATACCTCATCACAGTAAGGGCCCAGCTTGTACTGAGTCCTGTGTATTGAGACCTACAATGCAGCTGTGAATAGCACAAATGCAGTCTCTGAAAATCAACATTCTGCTGAACTTTTAAAAGTACATAACTCCCAATTATCACCTGCAAAGAAAAGTCAGAACTTATTAGAATGCCTGGCAGGGAGTTTCATGACCTGACTACTATTATACTACCATGCAGGCCAGGTGAGGTGGCTCACACCTTTAACCCCAGAACTTTGGGATGCTGAGACAGGTGGATCACTTCGGGTCAGGAGTTGAAGACCAACCTGGCCAACATGGTGAAACCCTGTCTCTACTAAAAATACAAAAATTAGCCAGGCACGGTGGCGCGTGCCTGTAATTCCAGCAATTCAGGAGGCTGAGGCATGAGAATCGTTTGAACCTGGGAGATGGGGGTTGTAGTGAACTGAGATAGCACCACTGCACTCCAGCTTGGGTGACAGAGCAAGACTCTGTCCCCGCAATAAAATCTTTTTTAAAAGTTAAAGTTTTAAAAAAAATTATACTACCATTTAGCTTCACCTTTGAGACTTGCACCACCTGCCAAATCTTTGCTCTAAATGTTCTAACTGGCCTTATACACTTCCAGGTGCTAGATACTCTCAGCCCTTTTGGCTTTGTCCATCTGCTTCAGGTGCCATGGAAGAGTTCCAAGCGACTCTGGAAGAAGACACTTTGACCAAAAGGAAATTATCAACATGGCAATTTGATTTAAATGGTTATCTGGTTAAGATGAAAAAGACATCATATGCAGCAAGTGAGTTTAAAATTCTAGTGTTCTGTAAAATGATTTTGTTTTCCTTAAGTGTGGTTTTTTTTTTTTTCAGGATTGGGGCAGGGAATTCCCAGATTTTGGAAACATTTTCTCCACTTTTTGGATTCATTGAATTTATTATTCATTTCCCCCATTGCTTTTGGGATGTTAAAAGTTCATTTAGCTTAAATGTCCAGAAGCATTTTTTAGTCCTTGGTTTCCCTACTTCAAAAATGTAGCCTTTGCCTTCTTCATGACCAAAAGTGAACACATTTGATAATTTATTTAACATTACTATTAAAGCATGCCACAACCAGTGAATTTAGCAAACCAGTGATTCAACAAATTGGCTCAATCTTAGCTCACTGCAACCTCCACCTCCCAGTTTCAAGTGATTCTTCTGCCTCAGCCTCCTGAGTAGCAGGGATTACAGGTGCGCACCACCACACCTGGCTAATTTTTCTATTTTTAGTAGAGATGGGGTTCATGTTGGTCAAGCTTATCTCAAACTCCTGACCTCATGACCTGCCTGCCTTGGTCTCCCAAAGTGCTGGGATTAGAGGCGTGAGCCACTGTGCCTGGCCAGCCAATTGGTTTTCAACACATTGAGTTTTATTGATGATTTTATGTCAGTTGCTTATTGGATGAATTTAAATTTTCTCACACTGAATTTCAGCTACTTGTCTGCCTCTTTCACATCACAAAACTTATTTTACTAAAGTGTAACAACAGTAAGAATAACTAACATTTATTACATTTCTACTTTGTGGCATTTTTAAGCTAATCACTGGCTAGGCCCAGTGGCTCACACCTGTACTCCCAGCACTTTGGGAGGCCAAGGAGGGTGGCTCACTTGAAGCCAGGAGTTCAAGACCACCCTGGCCAACATGGCAAAACTCCATCTCTACCAAAAATATAAAAATTAGCCAGGCACAGTGGTATACACCTATTATCTCAGCTACTTGGAAGGCTGAGGCACAAGAATCGCTTAAATCTGGGAGATGGAGGTTGCAGTGAGCTGAGATTGTGCCACTGCACTCCAGCCTGGGCAACCTGGCAAGATTCTGCTAAAAAACAAACAAACAAAAAACAGAAAGAAATACATTAGTTTGGTCCAGAATGGTTCAGTTTAATCTAAAGATCTGGGATCAACAGAAAGGAATGTCTGGGTTAAGAAAAAGGATTGTGGAGACCCACATTCTTATTTGCAGAGGAAGCCTTGGGTAATAGGTTTCAGGGAGAATGGGTTGTATTTTTATCATACTTGAAGTCTGTATTGATGTTAGTGTCACAGACGTATAATGAGGCATGTCTCACTGCCACTTCTCATCACAGTCTGAAACAGTCTCTCAGGTTAAATTTTTAAAAACTCATGGCTGAGGAGGAGGTACATTCAGATGGTTGGAGGGCCTTAGAATTTCATTTTTGTTTTACATTCTCTCCCTTCTGGCCAATATTTACCAGAGGCAACATCAAAAGCCATCAAATCTTTATTTTGTCCCATAGCATTGCCAGAGTGGCATGGCTGCCTGACCCCATCCATCCTGTCCTTCGGTGGGACTTCCTGTGGATAAGGGCCTTAAGAGTCAAAAGACTTATAGCCAATTAATTGTTCTAAAACAGACAGGAATGGATGTGGACAGGTATTCATTACCTCTTACATTATTATTTTAAGGCCGGGCACAGTGGCTCACACCTGTAATCCCAGCACTTTGGGAGACTGAGGTGGGCAGATCACAGGTCAGGAGTTTGAGACCATCCTGACTAACATGGTGAAACCCCATCTCCACTAAAAATATAAAAAATTAGCTGGCGTGGTGGTGCACACCTCGAGGCAGGAGAATTGCTTGAACCTGGGAGGTGGAGGTTTCAGTAAGCTGAGATCACCCTATTGCATTCCAGCCCAGGTGACAGTGCGAGACTGTCTCAAAAAAAAAAAAAAATCCTTTATGTTTGGGTGGATGCAAAAGTGATATAAAATAGTTTAGAAGGCAAAGTTCCTTGTTCTACCAGCTGTTTAGGCATCTTTGTATCCCTCATTGATTTGGAGGGTTTGACCTTGACCTAATTTCCCTCAAAACTGGCTTTTACAATCTCATGCACCCAACTTTTCCACAACCCTGGGCCTAGAGGGAGGGTGCTTGTATAGTTTTAGCAGCAGGCCATTTGCAATGAAAAATACATCAGGGCCCAGTGGGAGGCCAAATGAGGGAGATTCACATCTCCAGTCTTCAGAATATCATGATTTTGGTTTCTTTGGAAGTGAAACAAGGAGAGATAAATAACATTTGTAGTTTTACAATCGAAAGAGTATTTGTGTGTCAGAACAGAAAAAGAAACTTATTCCATTAGGGCACAACTAAAAATATGAAGAAAAATTACCATCTGGTACTCTCTGGAGAATTATTGTAGCCAAGAAACAATAAATCAATCTGCACTCAAAACAAAAGTTAGGCCTGAAATCTATATTAGCTGTTACATTTTTCCTTTGAAACAATTTCTCTACCTCTTTTTTTCTATTATGGAGAATTTATAGTATGACCAAATTTGTGTATAAAGTTTTAGGCTTACTATATTTGGCCAGATTATTTGTATAAAATGCCGCAATAATTGGCCACTATAGACTCCTTTTGAGTTGGAGTTGCTGGAACTTTACTTAAAAACATGCTATTTTATAGTTAAGTCTTGATAAAATAACCAGTGTCTTCAATTGTTCCATTTTAAAAGACTTACTGAACTTATCCAAATAACTATATTGTAACAAATTTTGGAGAACTTAGATAGAAAGGTAAATTTGCTTACAAAAACATATTTCATGGATGAGCTGGGTGTGGTGGCTCACATTTGTAATCCCAGCACTTTAAGAGGCTGAGGTGGGAGGATCTCTTGAGTCCAGCCTAGGCAACATAGCATTTCTACAAAAAAATACAAAAATCATGCTAGGCATGGTGGCTCATGCCTATAGTCCCAGCACTTTGGGAGGCTGAGGCGGGTGAATCATCTGAGGTCAGTTTGAGACCAGCCTGACCAACGTGGTGAAACCCCATCTCTACTAAAAACACAAAATTAGCCAGGTAAGGTGGTATATACCTGTAATCCCAGCTACTCAGTAGGCTGATGCAGAAGAATCACTTGAACACAGGAGGCAGAGATTACAGTGAGCCAAGATCATTCCATTGCACTCC